GAAGTAGGTAAACAGGTATCTGTATCCATCTGTTAATCATTATTGAATTCAACCTCTTTGTTTGATTCTTTTTTTTTTATTTTCTATATCAATGGAACAAATTAATGCATCATGAAAGCTATAAAATATTCCTGTCACATCTCGATATTGAACTTTATTTAGTATAAAATTAGAATAAACACAATCAAGGCTTGTTAAACTATTCGTGGTAGGCATATCTTTAAACATATTTACAAAACCTAAATTTTCCAATTTTGTTTCAATAGGTTTTGATTTATTTTCAAGACTATCTTCATTAAAATCGCCAATAAGAAGAATATTTTTGTCAATATTAAATTGTTTTAAATGTTCAATTAAATTTACAACAAATTCTTTTTTATTTTGCTGTGGTGATCGATAACATACGATAATAACTATGTTACTTTTTTCTATTTCAAAAGTAATACATTCAAGATTTACATGTGCATATGAATCAATTTTTTTTATAGGAATAGTTTCTCGAAAATATATTGCAACACCACCACCTTTTTGTGAATGAAGTAAATGGTTTGCTACAAATGAACATGCTCGTGTTTTATGAACAAGATTATAACCATTAATTTGAAGATGATCCAATCGAGTATCATCTTTCAACCATGTTTCTGCTAGACAAATCAAATCTGCTTTATGTAATAAATGGTAATTAGAAAATGCTTTAAAATTACATTTTAATCCTTCAATATTGTGAAACAATATATTCAAGAATTGTGAAGATTCTTGAAATATTAATTGTTTTTTTCTCATTATTTTCATTTGAGAAAGAACTCTATCAACATTTTCGTTACAATAGAATTTGTCAAAGTGTAAATCAATAAGAAACAGTCCTTCTAGGATACGAACACGTGATAATACTGTATATCCCATTCCACTTCCAAAAAAATCTTTCGTACTAATAACAACTTGATCAACAGTAATTCCTTGAGCTTTGTGTATAGTCATTGCCCAGCTAAGACGTAAAGGAAATTGTTTTGTACCTTTTTTTGATTGTGAATCATATTCTAGTCGATCAATAGTGTTACTTTCTCGCATCACACATATTGTATCTCGTCCATGACAACGTGGACAACTAACTCTATGAAGACGTCCAACTTTAGATGAATCACATTTAATTATTATATGAGAAACATCTTTATTATTATTTTCTACAAATTCTACAATACAACCTGTGACACCATTTGCTAATCCATCATTTACACAAATATTTTTCGTCATCATCACACGAGCATTTTTAGCAAGTCGTAATGGCTTACTATTTTTTTTTGTTTCTGTTCTTCCGTTCGATTTTATTTCTTTATCATTATTATTAACTTCATAGAATATTCGAATATTCGTGCAAATTTTCTCAATCATTTCTTCGTTATGTGCATCAACCTGAGCATTTCTAGCAAAAAGATGCAATGCTTCTAGATGATATTCTTTATTCAAATAACGTTGATGACATTTTTCAAGCACATCACGATCTTCTTTACTCATATCTTCTTTTTTTTTAATTTTTCGAATACGATTAAGCATTTGTGAGAAAAAAATGTTTGTTTTTTGTCTTTCATTGATTTTAAGTTCAACATATTCAAAATGATCAGACCAAAGTAAAGAAGAATAAATACTTGAAGCTGCTACTGGTGAACATTGATAAAAATCACCTATAGCAACTATACCAACATTACCAAAAATAGCTGTATTCGAATGTATACCCATGATTTGAGTAAGACGAGAATGCATAGCACCCCATAAACTTGCTTGTATAAGAGAAACTTCATCAACAAATAATAATTTAAGTGTACCCAACTTACAACGATAACTATTTAATTTATCACAAGATAAATTATCACTTAAACTATTATGTTGAGTTCCAATACCGAATGCACTATGAATAGTTACTCCACCAACATTGACAGCTGCTGCACCAGTAAAAGCTGTGATCAATGTATGAATCTCGTCAATATTCTCATCGGGTTCTAAATGTTTTTTTCGAGAAAAAATTTTTGTTGCTTCGTAATGAAGACATTTCAAAAGGTGACTTTTACCTGTGCCTGCTCCTCCCGTAATGAACAAACGAAGAGGTTCGACATTAGGATTATGTAAACGTTTTGTACACCATTCTCGAACATAATAAAATACTTCTTGTTGTTCATAGTTCATCGATTCTAAGAAGGGTCTTATTTCATCTGTAGTAGCAAAAGTTTGCTTCAAGTCAATGAACGTATTTTTATTTTTTCCTTTATGAATAATATTAAAATCGGGATTATCTTCTCGTTCAATATCTCCTGACCATATATTATCCTTTTCTTTATTAGCAACAATTTCAGCCCATTCGTTGTCTTTCATATCTACTGATAATTGATTAAATAATGATTCCGCTTCATCTGTTTCTTTCCAATGAGCTTCATATTTTTTTCGATTTTCATAGACAACTTCTTTTACTTTTCTTATACATTGTTGTCGAGCATCAAATATTTCACCTATTTCATAAAACAATTCATAAGGTTTTTTCAATTCACTTCGACTTCTTATCGGTAAATAGAGAGAAAGAAGATTTTGAAAATAATTTTCTCTATCTGTTTCTCTATTGAAATATGGATACCGAATAATAGCATTACGATTACAACGTTTCTTAATAGCAAAATTTAGTGTTTGTAATCGTTTAATTGGAGTCTTTGGATTTTTAATGTTTTTATTAATCGATATGATTTCATATTCAGAAGCAAAATCTGCCATACAAATATCGAATTCCAGTTCTTCTGGTCTATCAAAATATTTGTCAGCTAAGTTAGACATATATATATTTTCGTCATCTGGATCCAATTCTTTTAATATATTTTGTGATTTTAAAAATTTACAACTATTTGAATGTGCTGGTACAAAAACAAAACCTCGACTTGAATATGTTAGTGGCATTTTAGTTGCACGATAAATAGCTTCTTGTACACTAACTTGTCGATGATTAAAAAAAGTACCTGTTAATTTTTTCATTTCTTCTCGAACGGACATATTTCCTTCACGACATTCTTTATGAGTTGCTTCTAATAATAAACTCATTTCTCGTTCTGGTTTTGTTGTATATGACATAAGATATTTTGCACAAGCATATGGATCAAGTACGAATTGAATATCCATATTAGCATTCCATGTTCTCAATATTTCTTCATTATATTGATTAACCCATCGTGCATTAGGTTCTCTTTTATGAATCATGGTCGTTCTTGTATGAACAACACGAAGAGCACATTCGTAATCCTCATAGGTCCAATTATACTTTGCTAGAAGATTATCAAAATCCGACCATGACAAAATTTTTTCTTTTTCTAATTTATTCATCGTTGCATTCATTTCAATTAGAATTTCTTTCATTCTTTTAAATTTTTGTTTATCATCATCATTCTCAGCTTTTAATGGTTCACAAATGAATGTCCGTCGAGCAACAGGCCGAGGAAATCCAAAACGGCACAACATTTTATAAAATTTTAAACAAGACTTTGAATGGTTACGAGAATGAGTCTGTAATTCTTTGACAAGATAGTGTAATATTGGATCTTCTTCTAATGATGGGAATCGTGTCGTAATATATTTGTCACAAAATTTAACGATTTCCTCACGAGTTTTTTCATCGGTGTGCAATCCAATGTAAACAGGTGCACCTTTTACCCAAAGTGGCATGTGAGAATGTGGTGAACCTCGCATTTGCATTTCTATACGAGCAAACCAGTCTTCTACAATGCCTAGACACGATGCTCCACCTTTAATAAACAAATTCATAAATGTATTAAATCGTTTTTCAAACAAACGTGCAGCTAGAACAGGATTCGCACGTAAAAGCTTTGTTTTTTCTTCAAATGTATATGATTCTTTTATTGAAGCTCCAGTGTGACGTACAAAAGTATCAGTGAATTCTTTCCAACGTAGATCAGCACATGATAGTGTAAGAAAAAAAGTTGGAAAACCTAGTTGACGTGTCATTCCGAATAAGTCTTTTAAACGTTTATACCAGTATTGTGGACTACCACGAACACATTGCAAATGACGATATATCATATCTTTATTCATAAGAAATTTCATTTGCATTTCATCTAAGCTTTGTTTAGCATTCATTGGTAATTTTTTTCGGAAAGCAATATTGATTCCGGAGTATACTTGTTTCAAGTCACCTAAATACTGTAGATAAAAGATGTAACTTGAATCTGAAGCAAAACGAGAATCTGATGAAAATAAACGTGCTTTACAATATTCTTTCCATCTAAGAATTGTTTGACGATCTTCGTCATATGAGCCTTGACCATCTGGAAATAAATGAGGAAAGGCTAATGCTTCAATTTTTTTTATCTGTTAATAATGAACTTAATTTATTTTTTTCAGCTGGTGCCACTACGCATGGTTCTTTATCAAACACTAAAAAATCATTAAAATCACATGGTTGAGTACATGAATCTGTACCAATATTATATTTAGTACGAATATCTTTATCATCTTCATTGATTTCTTCATCACTATCAATAGTATTATCAATATCATCCAAAGCTAATCTTTTTAGACTATTTTCATGAATACATGCTAGAATGTCCTTTCGAAAATGTCCTCGGACGAAATGTCCTTTATTTTTTCGTCCTCTCACATACATATATATGTAAGGACGAAAAAATAAAGGACATTTCGTCCAAGGACATTTTCGAAAGGACATTCTAGACTGTTACCATTTTCATTAGATACTTCTGTTTGTTCAATGACAGTTTCTTCTGATATGTTGTCAACATCCATTGGTTCAACTACTAACTCAATGTTATTGTCATAGTTTTTTTCTTGATCAGATGTAAGATAATTTTCATGAATATCATTTATCTTTATACTTTTATATCCTGGATGCATCTTAGTTAAAACAAATAGTGCATCTCTTACATCATTTGGATTTATTAATTGTTCTTCCCATACAGCTTTGTATTTTAGACGTCGTTTCAATTGCAATCGAACCATCATCGATTTATCAACTGGAGGAGGTAATGTAGTTACAGTGTCTTCTACATCTGATGGCACACAATGAAGTGGCCCTTTAGTACCTTTTTGTGACAATCTACTCGATAATTTTCCTGATGTTAAATTTACAATTTTCATAAATGGTAATCTTAAAGCAATTAAATGTTTTTCAAGATTATTTAATTTTTTTAATTCAGATGGAACTTCACAAACTTTCAACTTATTCACGACTGCTCGGCTTGGCATTTGTCGTTTCTTTATTTTGTCTGAACATGACTTACAAATCCATTTTTGTTCTCTTGACGATGAATACATAAAGTAAGATTGAATATGTTCTTTTATTTCATATGACATGTTTTCTTTTATATACTTTTCTGCAACAAATGGTATCACCTGATTACGAAAAAGTGCTAACCGACATGATCAATATCAATATCAATATCAATATAGCTTTTTATTCAATCGAGTTAAAGAGAAGATAACAACGATGAAAGCACTTCAGCCGTTCGTTCTTTATATGTCGTTTGGTTTCTCGCAAGTTGATGCCAGTTTCTTCCTAGATAGTCCTGGATGAGTTTACGCCATCGATCTGCGGGTCGTCCTCTCGGTCTCCGAAAA